ATTGTAATAATTGAATGGTTTCAAATGATTTAAAAAGTTTTAAATTGGCTCGAATTTTATGGGTGTTATAGTAACAACTTGTTACCTTCAAATGGAAGCCAAAATGGAGTAGGTACTGGATCTACAAGCTTCTCCTTGATCCAAGCTCTTGAGTCTTCAAGTTACTTCCACTAAAACCACCTTCCAAGCTTTTACACACACAAAATGGGGAGTAATACACGATTAGGGTGTTCTGAGGTCAAGGGAGGTGATAAGAAAGGTAGAGGGTGGCTAATGAGCCTTTAAATAGGGTGTAAAACCCTGGAAATTAGGGTTTCACATTCCAGCTCCAACTCGTCGAGTTGGGTCCTCTAATTCGTCGAGTAGGTACCTTAAGTCACGCAACCATATCCATTTCTACACGCCGAGTTGGGGCATCCAACTCGTCGAGTAGGCCTTTAAATCTGAATGTAAAGCTATAAAATTTATACCTGAGAGTCGGGGGTGTTACATCTCCTCTCTTCTCTCTTATCTTTTGGGTGATTTTTATGATATCACGATGAAGTTTAAAGATAAATAAGGCTCTTTTGGTTGCAAGGAATGATGCTTCAATTTTAGATCCATCAAAGACACTACATTTCTAGACTATTGTAAGTATAGAGTTCTAATCTTGCTATCTAGTTCCTTAGATCTTGTCATTTGGGAGTTTTGGCAATTTTGGTCCATTTTATGGGTGATCTTGGAGTTGAGTGGATTCCAACATCTTTTGATCAGTTTAGAATGCTTCTTGGACCTCATGGACTAGTAAAGTTGTGATCTTTTGTCTTCCATTTTAGCCATGCAAGTTATCTTGGTCCTTTGGGTCATTTTCGTTTTTTAAATTTTAAATCTTGGAAGATTGTGGCATTATTATGGATAAAGTTGAAAACTTTATCCATCTATACATCTTGTTGATTCAGATCTAAAAGTTTGAGACTTGGACTTAATGGATTAAGTTGAGAAAGATGCATTTTTGGGTCCCTTTGTGACTTAAAGTCTAGATCTTTGTGGTTTGGACCTTCCTAATGGATAAAGTTAGAAACTTTATCCATTAAGGCCTTGGAAAGGATCAGATCTGAGCTTTAGAGCTCTTGGAATCGGAAGAAAATGGATTAATCTCGTCTGAGCTATTCAGACTAGTCCCCACGACGTGGCCTTAGGCTGCCACGACATGACGACTGGAGAATTAACGACCATGTTGGCATTTTGTCCCCACGACGTGGAGGGCTGTTGATTGGCAATTTTGACTTTGACTTTGACAGTTGGCTTGTTGATCAGTTTGACTTTTTGTCAAACTTGAGTAGAATTAAGCATTTGGCTAAGGATTGGTTTCCGTTTGGCTTTAGGAAGCTTGGGTTGCATGTTCAGTTGTTGAGGTAGCTGTTGGGCTTCTGTTGAATAGTTCAAGTGAGTCTCTTTACTGTACTTATGGGTCAAAGGCACCAATGCCGACCCATTAGATTATGTTTGTAGGATGCTAGTTGTCTGTGTGATATTTGCATGTTTTTTATGTTGGGCGGGGCCCATATACGAGTTAGGGTGAGGCCCGTTATACTCATTGGGCAGAGCCCGTTATCCGAGTTAGGGCGAGGCACGTTATACTCATTGGGTGGGACCCGTTATGCGAGTTAGGGCGATGCCCGTTATACTCAATGGGAGGGGCCCATTATGCGAGTTAGGGCGAGGCCCATCATACTCATTGGGTGGGGCCCGTTGCTTGTATAGTATATGGTATTTTGGGGAACTCACTAAGCTTTGTGTTTACGGTTTTGTGTTTAAATGTTTCCAGGTACTTTCACTTTCAAAAGGAAGGGTCCGGTTTGATCGTATTACAGCTCCTAGAAATCTATTAAGCATTGACTGTTTACGATCTACTATGATGTTTTGGGAATACTTTTACTCTGATTATCTTTTGGAACAGTCGAATGCATGATTTTGGTTTAACTAAATGAAAATTTTACTTGGTATTTTTTAATTGTTACACTTTTACTTGATTGAATCAACAATTAGTCTAACATGATTTTACTATTTTGTCACTTTTTACCCTCAAACTCTAAATGTCACAAATTCAATGTTTAACCTCCTAACTTTTATAGTTTCAAATAACACAACTAGTCTTTGTAATTTTTAATTATTTTAGTTTATTTATTTATTATTTTTAATTTATTTAAATAAGATAAAATTTTGAAATTTACCGAAAAATTCTAGCCCAAAAAACTAGATGTTACAATAAATAATATTATGCAAATGGTAAGAAAAGTATTCAGTTTCTAAAACCCTAAATCATGAATTCACCGACACAAACAAAAGTCTGGAAAATTGGCTATAATATAGTCGTAATAAGGTAATTGTGGCTATAATATAAGAGAAATAAAAAGAAATACCACGACGTGAGAGAGATTGACGATGGTCCAAGTCATGTACGGAGAACAACCAAAAGTAGAGAGAATGAAAATAATCACGTTTTTTTCACATTTTTTTCATATAGATGGAGAGAGATTACCATTATGAGGGTGCCAATAGAGGAACGGGAAAAGCCATGGATGTTTGGGGTTGACAGAGGTGGAGTGGTCATTGATGTGAGGGTGTCGGTAATTGCTGATGGAAGAAGGAAGGAAGTCGTCAGGGTCGATGAATGCTGCAGATAGGTCGTAGAAGGTGCCTAAAGAGATGTAAGCGTGTTTTTATTAGGTTAAAGATGAGATTTTAGAAACTTAATCGTTTGTACGGTCATGAGCGATTAAAAAGCTCGATTAATGATTCAAATATAATTTTTTCCTTGCCAAGCACCCTAAATGCTTAACGATTTAGACGTTTCATCTTAATGGAACCATTAAGATGCTTACCAAACAACCTATAGTTTTTATTACTCCAAGAAATTGAAAACTTAGCTTGAATACAACAGTCACATCTACAAAATGGTTGATTTCTTTGTCCGCATAGGTACATGCAAGAGTTTGAGCCATTTGAAAAGTGCTCGATATCAGTAAATTGTTTTTATATAAAACATTTTTATATCAATCTTACATGTATTTTTATCATATAAATATATTTTAATGAGACATAAAGTTTGTCCGAAATACATAGACCATTCCGGACATAACAATATTTTTGGAAGATATATAAAAAATTGGTTAAAATGACAAAATCTCATGTTCATATTTTTAAATATCCCTTTATCTTTTAGTCTAGGTACATAATTATCTAATTGTTTTTTGCTTTATGTCATAATAATCGCTTTTAAAACCCACATTCAAACACTTCATGAAGATTGATAGGTAAAAGATAATAACAAATTGAAAAAACATCATAAATGGTCCCTATGGTTTCCCAAAATCTGAAATTTAGTCCACATGGTTTAAAAACGTCATAGATGGTCCCTGCGCTTTCAAAATTTTTGACGATTGGTCCTTATTGCTAACTCCGTTAAAATCTGTCCGTTAGCTAAAGGGCATTTTCGTCATTTCACCACCACAGGGACCATTTATGATGTTTTCTTATATATTTTTTTAAAAAAGAAAAAATTAAATATAATCCCTTCTCTCTCTCTCTCTCTCTCTCTCTCAATCTCGTTTTGACCTCCGGTGATGGAAGGGAATGAGGAACCGACGATTTCACAAATTTTCACCCTCCTCCTGTCGAAGCACCACCCAAACACCCTTAGTAGTTTCTATTCCCGATTCCCCTCTTCCTCTTTTCTTCCTTGACTCATCGGAAAAACGAAACAGAAGGAAGTGGGTTGTTGCCTCCATTCCAGCCACCCCTCCTCCGGCTGCTGAAAAAATCCCAAGAAACGCCCACCTACTGTCGTTTTCGTTGTCCTTCTTTTTTTCAGTCAAATCTAGCATCGATGGTGCTCTCCATTGGTCGACTGTTGCTATTGCTTCCTTTTTCGGTTCAATTGCTGCCGGAGACGAGTTCGAAGAGGCCAAGAGGATTGCTGGAAAAATGGGCTCCCCTTCATCGTGATTCCTCAACCAAAATCGATCTACCCCTGTTGTTGCTTCCGATTCGGTTATTCTTCTTGATTCGTCGTAAGGAGATGTTCAGATATCGATGACGGCTTCGTCTTCAATTAGGGTTTCGTCTTCATTCTTCAGTTAGTGTTTTCTGCTTCAAATTTGTTCATCGATCTGCAGATTTTTTGGGTTCTTAAGTTCTAAAAAATGTTTTATGTTGCTGGAATCGGGTTAGAAAACACACACATAGAAATGTTTTTGTTCATGAAATCATCGATTCTACTGTGTTCTTAATGTTGTATGTATGAGAGAGATAGAGTGTATTGATTGATTTTTGATTCTCAGATTACAAGAACACATACATGTTGTAGTTTTATCTCCAGATCGAATTTTCGAAAATCGGAGCATCAAAGAAATGGATTTGGAACACACACAAAATTACAATAACACATACAAAAAATATGGAACATGAACACATACAAATACAAAATCTGAACTCAAGAACTCAAATTTCTAATTTTTTGTAAGCAAGAACAAGTTTAGGTTGTAGCGTACAACCTGTTAAAGCTTTTTCAGATCGAGAGAGAGAGAGAGAGAGAGAGAGAGAGAGAGAGAGAGCTTTTCCATATTTAATTTTTTCTTTTAAAAAAAATATATAAGAAAACATTATAAATGGTCCCTGTGGTGGTGAAATGACGAAAATGTCATTTAGCTAACGGACAGAACTTAACGGAGTTAGCAATAAGGATCGATCGTCAAAAGTTTTGAAAACACAAGGACCATCTATGACGTTTTTAAACCACGGGGACTAAACTTCAGATTTTGGGAAACCACATGGACTATTTATGATGTTTTTTCTAACAAATTTAATGTTTGCTAGAGACCTTTTTGGTTCACGATGGCATATACGTAAATACCAAGGCAAAACGAGGTTGGAAGTTAACAACTGCTGGTTTAACAAAAAAAATTTACTGGATTTGCGTTTTATGGGTTTCTAGAACTGGAACCAATCGAAATTGTTTCTGACAATATATATATCATCTTCATTCTCTCTCTCCTTCTTAAAACTACTTGCAGACCATTTTCCTTCCACATCTCAAAACCCTAATTCTAACAATACATGCCCCGCCCTTTCACAAGATCAGGTACGTTATATCTCTTCATTTCCTTCAACTCTTGTTGAATTTATCTGTATTTGCTCAATCGGATTATGGATTAATTAATACAGAAACAAAACATCTTCGATCATTAATTAGCTCGATTGGATTTACACAATTTTGTTGAATCAAGCTCGTGATTTCCTTTCCTTGTAAATTCATTCGATCAATTCTTCTTTTCTTCTAATGCAATGAGTTGAGGAGATTGAAATTGTGTAATTCTGTTTGGTTATCTGAAATTGAATCTGAATTATCTCAATTTAACTTGGGCGGCGAATAGATTCAACAATCGGGTTGTGATTTCAAATTTGAATCCTTTGTTGAGTGTTTGAACAATTCCGATAGAAATGGGATTTAGTTGATTGATTTCATTATGCCATAAGGATGTATGAACTTTTTTTCTTTCTATGCAGAGAAGATCGCATTCACATACAAAGTGTTTGAAGATATTACTTTGATGTAACAAATAATGGAAGCAAACGTATGTGATGTTAATCGTTTAGACTCTGATGTTCTTCTGCCTCCAAGAAAGCGTCTACTCGCCTGTTTAAAAAAGCAAAATGGCGACATCAATGGAAACCCAAATTCACCATCAACATGTACCCCATTGAGTAAATTAGACACGCGAATCAGTTACTTATTAAGAGCTCATTTAAGCACTGATAATCCTTCACAAGAGGAGATTGTAGCAGCCTCAAGATCAGCAGCTGAAGTTGCAGTCAAAGTTGCCATGGCTGCAAGAGCTGCAGCTGAAGAGAAAGCAGTAATAGCATCCAAAGCCATGGCTGCAGCCAAAAAAGCTTTAGAATTAGTAGCCATTGTTGATGATCAAAATCAAGAGACACCATCTTCTCCAGAACAAGATTCAAATTCAAAGAAGAATAAGCAAGTTGAGGTACAAATGTTGTATAACAATAAGAAACCAAGGTTAGAAAATGGTAATAAGACAAATGATGAAGAATTAGCACGTAAATTACACCAAGCCATAAACAGCTCCCCTAGAATTTCAAAATCTGGTGTACCTCTTCCCTCTGAGTTAAAGGGTCATAATAATAATAATAATAAGCTTAAAAAGTTTTCAGAAAATGGTATAATTAGCAATGGAAGTATAGTTGTTGAAGGGATTTATAGAAATGATAAAAAAGCAGAAGAAGATATTACAACAAATGGGGAGAGAGAGAGAATACAGATACAGACACAAACACATTCAAAGGTGAAATCTTGTGATGATGATATGAGTATGACTTCTTTTGGTAGAAAAAGGGGAAGAATGAAACAGAAGAAGTTGCCATTGAGTATATGTCATGATAGGGATCAACTTCAACTTCAAGCAAACCCTAACCCTAATCCTAACCCTAACCCTAAAGAAGTTCATGATCATCATACTTCTTCTAAAAGCTCATTATCTGTAGGGATGCCACCTGGCAATAATGTTGTTGAGAGGAATTTGTGGAAGTGTCAGGCTTTTAAAGCATCTCCTTGTGTTAAACAAAACAAAGTTATGCAGTTGTGATGTTTTTATGTTTACCATAACAATCAGCATTTGGGAAAGCATAGTGTTCAGGTAATTTTTTACTTTCTTGCAAAATTTCTTCTTCTTATTTTTTTTATTTTTTTTTTTATCTAAGAAACAGTTATTAATAAAGTGTGTTGCTATTTCTTGCATTTAACTGTTTTTTTTTTTAACTAATGTGCTTGGTTTGTAGGCTGAAAGAAGTTAACTTGAAGAGAAAGAATGAATGAATGGATGGTAGTGTGAAATGATGAATTAGGGGATTGATTATAAGAGAGATATGTTGTATGTAGTACAAAAGGTTGAAAGTGTTGATGATATTTTCCGATTAGTCTTTGTGGTGTTTGACATGGGTTTTGTAAAGACAAACAAGATTTTTTGGCTTGAATAATGGAAAATCCTTTAATATTATTATGTTTTTTTTATAGATATATTGTAATCACAATGTAAGTTGATCATTAATGGTTTTTCAAGATTATCTTTTATGAATTCTAACAATAGAATTTAATAGGGGTGAGCAAAACCGATGCCGGAAACCGAAAAACTGACAAAAATCTAATAGAACAGAAACCAAACCATAAAAATCGGTTTTGGGTTTAGAAACCGACCCATAATATATATTCCTGATTATTTAATATTTAATATAGATTTTAATAAATAAAAAACTAAATAAAGAATGTAAGAATTGAATATTGGTGTTTTCATCTTTTGGTTGTAAACTTCTAAACTTGACAATTTTAATATTTCCTTGAACTATTTAATTGATTTTGGTGTTTTTGATCAGTGCTAAATTGTTTGAGGAAGTTATTTACTTTGTTTACATTTGCTAAAAAATAGGTTAAAACCCTAACCCATGAACCTATGGGTTGACCCTGAAAAACCAAATCTAATAGATTCTAAAAGTCAAAAACCAAAGTTAACGGGTTGGGTTCGATTTTATCCCAAACCGATCCATACTTACCCCTAAAGTTCAAGATATAAATATCCAAATTATAATCTCATCATATGACTTGTGGTACTTTATCAAAACAAACAAAATGATTATACTAAAATTAAAAAGAAAAAAACCATTAAATATCTAAAAACAAAATGATTACATTTGCTAAAATGTTTTCACATGATTATCACGACGACTTGGTTTTAGTTATTCCCATTATGATGTTATTCACATTAGTGTCGCAATGTTTTTTCTAATTCGAAATGAATAGATTTGCGATACTCGATTTCAAATCGAATAGATAAATTTTAGAGACTCGTCCATATAATAAATAAATACTAAAGAGGTAGGATCAAATAGGTTAAGATCTTAAGATCCTAGTCAGGATCCTAAGACCCAATATAAATTTTCCTTTAGATAGAGCCTATTGTGATCGAGATCGTTTTTCGGTTATAGGATCTTAAGACTGTAAAATCTTAAGGTCAAGATCGGATCTTAACAACTATAACTGAGATTGTCAAAATAATCTATTATATATCATATCAAAATAATCTATTATATATCATATATAATACAAAAGCTTTTTGGTGAACTCGATTTACTTGGTACAATCTTTCCAAATTATAAAATGTATTTACTAAAACTTCAATTCTTTTTTTAGTATGTCTTATGTTAGATCATAGAGTAAATTACATGAATGGCCCCTATGGTTTGGGGTAATTTGCATGTTTGGTCCCTAACTTGTTTTTTTAACTTGGAAGGTCCCTACAATTTGTTTTTGTTGTGTGTTTGGTCTCTGTCTTACCTAAAAAGACTATTTTGCCTTTGATTTTTTAATTTATTTAAATAAGATGGAGTATGTAAGGTAAAGTAATGTGAGGTGGAAGTGGGGTTGTGGGTGTGTTTATTTAAATAAATTAAAAAACCAATGGCAACATAGTTTTTTAGGTAAGACAGAGACCAAACACACAACAAAAACAAACAGTAGGACCTTCCGGGTTAAAAAAATAAGTTAGGGACCAAACGTACAAATTACCCCAAACCATAGGGACAATTCGTGTAATTTACTCTACATTATTTGACATCATATTCTCAACCTAGATTAAGACGATGACAACCTAGATTAAGACGATGACGAAAAAGCACAAAGATGTTAGATGTGCATGAGATTTGTTGCTATGGCTTTCATAAACATGTTTCACCTTTATAAACTTAATTGCTTTTAAAAGATAGTAATTAGAATTAACCAAAAATATGATTTTATATAAGGGTTATTGTTAGAAAAGTCGTAACATTTTGGTATAATCAACAGAAAAGTCCCAAAAAAATTATATTTACAAAAACAGATAGAATATCGATTAAAAGTTCGGAAAAAACTATTTTGGTCAGTTTCACAGATTACCCAGTTTCGAATGGTGATGGTCTACGTGTTATGATGAGTTTATTCATCCTATATTTGTTACTGAATAAACCAATACAAAATATTTTGTTGTAAGATTAATGTTTAATTTATATACCTAAGATACATAAAAAAAATAGAAAACAATAAAAGAAAGAAAAAGTAGACAGAAGAACAACGATCATTTTAAAACATTTAGCAGAGAAGACTCCGACTTTTCAGGTAACAAAGGTCTAGTTTTTGCCAAACATAATCAGCATCTATGAAAAATTTTCAATGCTTGGACCTAAAGTGCAGAACTATGAATAAAAATTTTCATAGATGTTGATTATGTTGGCAAAAACTAGACATTTGTTTCCTGAAAAGTTGGGATCTTCTTTGTTAAATGTTTTAAAATGATCGTTGTTCTTCTGTCTACTTTTTCTTTCTTTTCTTGTTTTCTATTTTTTTTATGTATCTTAGGTATATAAATTAAACAAGTAATCTTACATAAAAATATTTTGTAGTGGTTTATTCAGTAAAAAATATAGGATGAATAAACTCATCATAACACGTGGACCATCGCCATTCGAAACTGGGTAATCTGTGAAACTGACCAAAAAAGTTTTTTCTGAATAAAAACAATAGGGGCCAAAAATGTAGTTAAAGGAAAATAAAAACTACATGGAACAAAAATGTAATTACCCTCGCTTAAAGTCTATAGGGAATAAAAGGGTAGCTAATGCAAAATAAAAAATAGACAAAATTGAAAAAATGTTCCTTGTGGTATGTATTTTTTCCGAGGTTTAGTCCAAACCTTAACTTTTTTGGTTTCATGGTCCTTTTGGTCATGTTTATGTGGAAATGGTCCCTCCGAAAATTAAAAAGACTATTATACCCTTTTATTTTTATATTTTACATTTTTAATATCTTTTTTAGTAATTTAATAATTAAAACAATAGAAGGGGCCCACACACACTCTCTTTCTCTCTCTCTCATAATGAAGTCTAGATGAAGATATAAAGATCTGGGGAAGAACCATATGAATATTCGGGTTCAGATTCAACACAGGCAATACAACACATACATACACACAATGATGAATCATATGAAGTTCTAGGTTCAGAGGGTGTTTGGAAAATCTTTTAAAATGACTTTTAGATCTTTTAGTTTTTCCAAAAAGCTAAAAGTTAAAAAAGGATGTTTGGACATTTCAAGAAGTTCTTTTAAAACAATTTTTTGGTGAGAACAAAAATAAGCTTTTGAAAAGTCATGAATTTGTGATCTTTTTCAACTTTTAGGTTTTTAGCTTTTAAAAAGTCAAAAGATGAACCAAACACATTTTAAAACTATCTTTTATAAAAAGCCAAAAAATCAAAAATGACTTTTGTCAAAAAGAACTTTTTAGCATGAAAAGCAATCCCAAACACCCCTGAGATTCGAGTACCACAAACTCCTACACACTCCAAAATCAATATACACAAAACCCAAAAGTTGTTCAACTTCATCGTCATCACCTATGTTCTTCTTTCTTCTTCCTTCTTCATATCACAACCCTAGCCGCCACCATTAACCAGAACCACCACTATTCAAACCACAGGGACCAAAAGAACGGGAGTGGTTAGTATCCTTGGATTCATCATCCAGTACCCTCACACTTAAAGAAGATCAAAGCCATCCCTATTATAATATCCGACGAAGGAAATTGTGGTCGGAGGTGGCCTAACGGACGACGTAACTGATCTAAGGTCGGGACCATCGCCTTCTTCCCATCACATATCATAGACTCGCTGGATCAGATCCCGTAAATTCGAGACCCACTTTTAATTTCGTCGTGTGTGTCTCAATGGCAAAAACATCAAATGAAGCACCACCTGATTTCTAGGGTTTACTCGTGTTCTTCATTTGCATCCTGTGCTTTAGGGTTGAATGATTATTAGGGTTTGAATCAACAATAATGATTTTGTATCTGGGTGTTTTTTGTTTGAAATTTCTCTCATAGGTCATTGAGAAGATGAATCAAATGAAGAGGAAAGGTTGGTTGTTGGTCGGATATGCCAGAAAGAGGGGAAACACCATAAACTGGAGATGAAAGAAAGAAGGGAAATATCAAAGAGATGCATATTGAAACAGAGTGTATTGGAGTTGTTTGTTGTGTTCGAGATCGTGCTTGAATGAAAGGAAGGTGGGGAAACAGAGTCTATGATATGTGGGTGAGATATATAAAATAGAATGTGTGTGTGTGAAATAGATATCTTGAATGTTAAAATTGACTGTAGAACACATGTAAATTTGTTGAATTTTCTATTGTTTGGTAATGTTTATGATCTGGGTACGAATGAATGAATAAGAGAATGAATGAATAAGAGAGAGATGCGGGCTCAAATTAATTAATTATTTTTTTTTTATTTAAATTAAATAGAAAAAAACATAAAAAATAAATCAGAAGGGCATTACAGTCAATTTACTTTACTGAGGGACCAAATACATATCGAAACTAGAGAAAAATGACCATCAATCCAAAAAAGTCAAAGTTTGGACCAAACATAAAAAAAAATACATACTATAGGAACATTTTTGCAGTTTTGTATAAAAAATACAAGGACCAAAACTGTAGCTATTGAATTAAAAACTATACGGACTGAAATATAAATAATGCAAATTAAAACTATAAGGACAAAAACCGTAATTATCCTACACCAAAAGCTACAATAACCAAAACTATAATTAATACAAATTAAAAACTATAAAGACTAAAATGTAATTTTACAAATTAAAAACTATAAAGACCAAAACTGTATTTATCCTAAATTAAAAACAATAGGACCAAATCTATAATTATATGTAAATTCAAATTACATGGACCAAAATTATAATTATTGAAATTAAAAACCATAGGGACCAAAACTATAATTTGACCAATAACATCATGTGGCAATGTGGCATAGGCATAAGCAATATAATTTGTTTAAACCATAAGGATATGTCTTATCGACTTCTCAACGGTTGATTCAACAAAAATATAAATTTGAACAAACCATAAGGAATAAAACTATAATTTATTCTGATACTTATTAAAAGC